GAAACAAGCCGATCTTGTTAAGCTTGCCTCGGAGCATGGTGTCGTCGACCTACTGCCATGGACCGTCAAGAAGCCCGGCGAGAAGGAAAGGCGGAGGGTAGAACGAGGACTGCAAGTCAAGGGCACAGGCGAGGGACAGAAGGTCAAGGGAAAGCTTTGGGAGCGAACACTGAAGGGACGCTTGGAGATGAGGAGACAGGCTATGCTGAACATGCCGGCTTTGATCCAGGAATGGAAGCAGAAGGGTCACGGAAGAGGCTGGAAGAAGTGGCCCAGTGGAAAGGCGAAGAAATAGAGTATCCCGCTCAAATGTACAATATCATGGACACTGTTCTTTTCTTCCATGTAACGAGGTTTAGACATGGTTCGATTAGTATATCACAAAGTAGTGATGTCTGGGTATCCTACTGACTGAACTATCTCATCCTTGACAGACCTCCCACGTTACTGTTCGTGTGTACAACTAGTTCTGGGTATAATATAGGAAATTCAATATGCACATATGCATGCACACGCTTAACAATCCATCTTGAGCTATCCTCGAGGCCCGGCATAACGAGAAGACGCTTCACATGACCATCTCCTCGTCGCCATAACCACCCTGCAGCCCATACTCTCGTGCATATGCGTATGCTCCGTAAGTGTTCTCCATGTCAGCTACGCTGCCCACATTCTTCTGCCAGAGGCCGTTGCTGCCAGTGTTGTTGTAGACTGGGTCGGTGGCCTGGTTGTACTTGGTCGATTCCTTCATCGCATTTTCGCCTCTGCATGACTCTTCGTATTCGCGTCTAGCCATCATCTCGTAGCCTGATGCCATGTATGGTTCAGCGCTTGCTGCTGCCATGCTCTGATCCAACTGCTGCTGGTGCTGCTGGATAGCCTCTTGCTGGGCGGACTCCTCTTGTTGTCTCTCGTATCTCAGCTTAGCCATGGCTTCCTCCTGTGCGAGACTGGTGGGTGGCCAGTCGTAAAGCTGTCGGGACATGTTGTAGTCTACGCCCGCTGGGTGTCCTTGACGACCTGATGGAGGTGATATGCGCCAGAGCTCGAGGAGACGTAGCCGTTGATCGTCGTCTGCATTCTGGAAGAGATCGATCTGGGAAGGGAACAGAAGAGAAGGATCAATACTGTTCCTCAAAAGTACGGCAGCGAGGTCCGAAGATTCGATGTGTGTCTTCAAGGCTGGCTCGGAGGTACTGCGGGTAGGTACATGATATGAATGAGTGTAGTGTTGAGAAGCGTAGACGATCTGCTTGGGAGCCTCTTCCTGCTGTTGCTGTTGTTGCACTGGTTGTTCCTGTTGCATCTGTGGTTGCATGGGCTGCGGGTTGCCTTGAGACAAGTTCATGTTGGCTGAGAACAGCCGAGTAAGTTCATCTTGCTGCATGTTTGCGTCTTCTGCTGCTTTCCCCTGAACGTTGATGCCCGTAGATATTGTGCCGCACTATGACGTAACGTTAGTGTTTACCAGCGCCGAAGACGAACGAGCTTACATTTGCGCAAGAAACGTTCTGAGAAAAGGCGTAAGGACTGAATGAGATGGGCGTGTCGTGAGTGCAGTCGCAGTGGTGCAGGAGCATGGGCTGCATGTCCTCTAGGGTCTCAACAGCAAGCGGATGAGGGGCAAGTTCTGGAAAACGGAGGTTCAAGTATTGTATTAGGCGGGAAGTCGACAAAGGCGCATACAGTGATGGACTATATCGTTGAAAGACCTTGTAGACTCGAGCTCAGAATTCGTCGTTGGCTGATATGGAAACTTGGAATCGTACTTGTCCGCGCTTGCGTTGGGCGCTGACGACAATCGGCGGGGGATGACAAAGGGTGCCTTTGTGAGTCAAGAACAAACGGAAAGGTACTCAAATATACTTGAACCAAGTCAGCAGTGAAGAGGGGGCAGGAAGAAAATTAGGAGCAGCGTGATGGTGGTTCTTTTATGTACCGTTGAGTATAGCGTGCTGTCGGGGTCATGCGTGTAGGCGGGATGATTCTGATAATTTTGTCGCCCACATCCAATTAGTGACGAAGCTGAAACCCAACCTGTCCGGCTAGTCTGCTGGCAGCCAATGATGTGTCTTGAGAGCTTGCAAATAGTGGTCGATTTGGGACGACAACTCATCAAATGTGTATGGGCGTATGCACTTTTGGATGTGAGGTGCGGGCAATTGGAGGCCCAGACGGAAGAAGCCGGGACAGCAGGCAGCGAACACACCAGTAGAGCGCCAGCAACGAGGAGTCAGATCGGACCAACAGTCCTGGGCGAAGCAAGGAGGATCGAGAGTTGCAATGCTCGCGAGTTGCTGCTCACGTACGCGGGTTGATGCCTCTAGGTGTCGGCCTTGGCACGCACGCGCGCTAGTGAGCTACCTGGAGCTTGCGCAGATACACCATTGCCTAGAATCATCAACACCGAGACACACGACTGCCAACCCTTGATAATCCCGTAATCGCTTCCCGGGAATCTGCGGTCCATTTGATCGCTCGGAATAAACAAAGCGCCCTTCTCAGTCTCCACACCGCCCACCATGGTAAACACCCCACCGTAACAGCTGAAGCACCCCAGTCGATCTAACCATGGCGTAGACATCAATAGGCACAGGTTACGATCTGTCCAACTCGGTCTTCTCGCCCGACGGTCGAAACTTCCAGGTCGAATACGCGGTTAAGGCAGTAGAGAATGGTGGCACAGCGGTCGGCATCAAGTGCAAGGATGGCGTCGTACTCGCTCTGGAGAAGCTCGTCAGCAGCAAGTTGCTCAAGCCCGGCGCGAACAAGCGGATAGCAACTGTGGACCGCAACATGGGCATTGTGTCTTCCGGTCTCCTCCCCGATGGTCGCCACTTCGTCTCCCGCGCCCGCGACGAGGCAGCCCAATGGCGGCAGCTTTACAAGGCACCCATCCCCTCCTCGTCTCTCGCCGACCGTATGGGAAGCTATGCCCAAGCGTATACCCTCTACTCGAGTGTCCGTCCTTTCGGTATAACTGCAATCCTTGCAGGCTGGGACTCCGAGGCCGAGCTACCAGTAGATGGTCAAGTTGGTTCAGGGCCTACTGTTGGCTCGGGAGGCAAGAAAGAAGGCGCAAAGCATGGTGGGCCATCGCTTTACATGATTGAGCCCAGCGGTCTATACTGGGTATGGAGACCTTGGTCACCTAAACTTGTCCAACAACTAACGTGCACAGGGCTACTACGGTGCCGCTACAGGCAAGGGCCGCCAGGTCGCCAAGTCAGAGCTCGAGAAACTCAACCTCTCCGAGGGAAATCTATCACTAGAGGAGGGTGTCAAGGAGGCAGCACGCATCATCTACGTCGCACACGATGACAACAAAGACAAGGAGTTTGAGCTTGAGATGACATGGATCAGCAGTCTCGACGGTCCTACCAAGGGCAGGCACGAGGAAGTGCCCAAGGACATCCGGGAAGAAGCTGAGAAGCTGGCAAAGAAGGCGCTGGAAGGAGACGACGATGATGACGAGGAGGAGGAGAAAATGGAAGAGTAGACGACGACTGCATAACACCGCGTAGACGGTCTATATGCATAACGAGCGGCTCTCACTGCCTTTCACGATCAATGAACAACATTTACGAAAGTCAAGCACTAGCACTATCATCTTCTTGTTCGGCCCGCTTCTCAAGCTTGCTTCGTCGCTCCTGCCAATTCTGGATTGACAGTTGACTGCGTCATCGACGATTCCAGATTCGCCATGCAGGTACATCCGCCCCACTAGCGCGTCACCCTGCAATCCGATTTTGAAAACCATTCAACAATTCCATCCATAAGTATCTTACGTCACGCGTCTATCCCACCATCCAAATACACTCTTCTTATCCAATTGTAATATATCATCATGCCGCCAACTCTCATACTCATTCGCCACGCTCAGGCACAACACAATGCCACCAGCGACTGGTCTATCAGGGACCCTCCTCTCACTGAGCTGGGCGAGCAGCAATGTCGCGAGCTACATGAGAGTCTGAAAGAGAGCAAGATCGGCAATGAAGTTGAACTCATCGTTGTCAGCGCTCAAAGGCGGACGCTCCAGACTGCCACTATCGGGCTGGACTGGCTTATCAAGAAAGGCACCAAGGGTAAGAGCAATGTCACTGAGCAAGACACTTTATGTATATGTGGATAATACTGATATGCACTGCAGTAATCCCCGACGCGAACTGGCAAGAAAACGCAGACAAGCCGTGTGACACTGGAACACCCATCGACGAGATCTCCAAGGAATTCCCTCAGTACGACTTCTCCGTCGTAGACCCCTCGTTCCCAGACAAGACAACTGGCGGATCCAAGAACCCATACGCTTTCACCGAAAAGGCTATCCTCGCACGTGGACAGAGGTGTCTCAAGGACCTCTACTCCCGCCCCGAGAAAGTCATTGCTGTTGTCTCGCATTCGGGTTTCCTGCGCACAGGTGTATGCAACCGCATGTTCTTCAACGCCGACTGGCGTGTGTTTGAGTTCGACGACGAGGAGATGAAGAAGAATCCTGGGTTCTTTGTGTTGAAGGAGAGCGAGGAGACGGAGAAGAAGGGTGGCGGTATGGGTCGTAGTGATGTTGGTGTCTTTGGTATCGTACCTGGTGACTTCCCGCCTGAGGTTGAAGAGGAGATTGCTACGAATAAGGCGCAAGTCGATGATGAGGCTACTAAGCAGAACCCGAGTGCCTGAGCTGGGTGATTTGTAGTTAGATCTGAGAGTCGTGTTTTGCTGGACTATGTGGCAGTGGAAATTTGCGATCACTTAGAGGATAGACATTGCGTAGACCATAGAATTTAGTGAATGTCAATGAAGACTATCAATCTATATCCACCAATGTAGTCTGAGCATATTTGATGCTTTCATATGCATGAGCATGGTGCTCTTGTGTAATACCAAGTGGCGCATAGAGCGCCCACATCAGGCCCGCCGGAATACCTGTTCAACCCCCCGGGCCTTTCTTTGGCCGACCGTCTCAACACCCGGTATGGCCATGCTTTCGGGAACCATCTTTATCAACCCGCCCAAGAGACTGGGAGATAGGGTCGGTACTGTGCATGCCTCCCATCGTACGCTTCTCTGAACCCAGACATAGCCGCTTCTTCTGTCGCCCCTGTGATCGCGAGACCGATAGCCTGCCCAAAGAGCAGATACAGCTCCCTTTTTGCCTGGTCCAGTCCTTGGAGACCAGCAAACGACGCATACTCGATGTAAAGATGCTGGAACTTGACCTTGACGATCTCGAGACCTGGCTGTCGTTGACCAAGCGGTAGTGGCTCCACAGTCCGGCGTGCGGCTTTCCTTGGGGACGCTAACCGACGAAACTGAAGCAGAGGTGTAATCCATTTCTCGCGTAGGTTGACCTGTCGACGGTTATGGTGAAGCTCTACACAGACCTCAAGTTCGCGTAGGCCAGTGAGCTGTTTCGAGGCGGCCTCGCAAACTCGCTGCCTGAAAGTGAACATGGCGTTAGTTACTTCTGCGTGTAGCATACCGGACAACATCCAAGTCTGTCACTATCGCAACCATACTTACCAACTTTGATGATGCTTCTCTTGCCAAACCACGTCCACGGTCTTGTTTGGATTTCCATAAGTACTGTAGTGGAGATGCAACCTGGTGATGCTTCCCAAGTGGATGGACGAGGCATATTTGAAGAAGTTTGTCATCCGCTTTGGCGCGTCGAAGACAAAAACTGTGTTTTGGTAGAGCAACTTCGCTGTCTCTGCATAGACTTGCTTGCAAACAAGATTTAGCGCACATAGCGACCCCGGCCAGTTCGTTCGCAGGCCCTGAACAGCGTTGTATTTGCCAAGTGATCTCGAGAAGCGAATCACGACAGGAGGAGTCGCGCTTATCTCAGGATCAGGCGCAGGAGTCGTGCTCTTTGTAGCGATTACATTTGATGACAACTTGACAGTCTGTGGCTTCCGCTGCGTGAATTTGGATCCTTTGCTGGCGATTTCACAGCGACGCTCCGAGTCGAAGTAGTAGCCGTATATTTGGTTTCTGATCTCACCGGGTAATGCGAGGAAGCCGCGCATCTTCTTGGGCGGAGACCCTCTCGGCCTGTGAGCGCGGGAGAAGAGACTGGTACCAGTCATGACCGCCGGGCAGAAAAGCTTTGAAGCTTGAAAGACAATGTGTTGCTGTGCTAGTGAATTAGCCGGAAATGTTTGTTAGCAAGTATCAAGATGCCACCGAGCTGGTGATAGTCTGTGTCTGTGGAACCATGGAACATTGGAGGTGGAGCCTGGGTGCCTGGGCCCTGATATCGTACGTGGACGCTAGTCGCGTTTGGGCTAGTGATCAGAGCAACTGCGGGCAGCCACGACAGTCGCCCCTGCTGCATACCGCCATGTTAACCATCATGTCTTCGCTAATCTCGCGCCAACGTATCCTCCTTCGCCAGCCTCAATTTCTTGCAGCTCGCGCCTTCTCCTCCTCCAGGATAAACGCATCTCGCCTCCGTCAACCCGGCGAACCAACCGGCCCGAACGAAGTGAGTAGAGATCATACAAAATATATGCGACGCATACACTGACCTCTTATCTCAACCTCTGCAGCCTCCGACACACATCCGAACACCTCCCTCGAAATCCCCACTCAAAGTCTGGCCCATCCTCGCGATATTGGGACTAGGCACATACCTGTTCAACGCGATAATTGATCAGCGAAAAGGCGAGGGATACCAACCCAAAGGACCTATTCAAGGCCATTCCCCCAGCGGCAAAGGACAAGTGAAGCCTTCACACCCCCACTAGAAAGATGCCTGCCATTGAAAAGACCGCCGCGGGCTCGCGCGAGTCTCCCCGCTGGTCCAGCGACGAAGTGACCGTCCTTTTCGTCCTTGGTGGCCCCGGTGCCGGAAAGGGTACGCAATGTACGAAGCTCGTCAGTGACTATGGCTTCAAGCATCTCTCTGCTGGTGATTTGCTGCGCGAAGAGCAGAACCGCGAGGGCAGCGAGTTCGGCGAGATGATCAAGACGTACATCAAAGAAGGCACTATCGTGCCCATGGAGGTTACCGTTCAGCTGTTGGAGAACGCAATGGAGGCCAGCATGGAGAGCGGAGAGAACCACGGAAAGCTGTTCCTGATTGATGGTATGATGGCCCATGCAGCTACTTTCCAGTCCACGGTCTAACATGATAGGCTTCCCGCGCAAACTCGACCAGGCCCACGCTTTCGAGCGCTCCGTCTGCCCTTCCAAGTTCACCATCTTCTTCGAATGCTCCGAAGCTGTCATGGAGAAGCGACTTCTCGTCCGCGGCGAGACATCGGGACGCGCTGACGACAACCTCGAGAGTATCAAGAAGCGCTTCAGGACATTCGTGGAGACGAGCATGCCCGTGGTCAATGAATTCGAGTCGCAGGACAGGGTTGTCAAGATCAACGCAGAGCAGGAGCCTGACCAGGTTTACCGGGACGTTGTGGAGAAGCTCAAGGAGCGTGGCGTGAAGCCCATCAACATCACCTTTGTGCAGACACAGGCTTCATAGTCTATAGGGAGACGCCCAAGAATCAATATATCTGAATTGCATTGTCTATCATGCAGCTCGAGGGCTGCTGTTCATGAACCTGAAAAGCCTCATAATGCATCCGTCCCAAGCCGACCCCTTTTGAAAGAAAGAAACGCGCACCAAGACGACGTAACCACTTAGTCCATATCGTCATCAATGGCCCTCTGCTGCTTCCTCTGTCCGCCCCTTCCGCCGAACCGCGACGCCATATCGGCCTTCTGGTCGGCCTTGTTTGCTTCTTCCTCCTTCTCCTGCGCGAACCTCTGCTTCTCCTGCTGGATGACCTGCAGAACACCCTGCAGACTGTTTCGCCACAAATCTAACCTTGAGGCTACCTCTCTCCACTGGTTGTCGCCAAAGACGCGGTATGTTGAGCGGTGGATCAGGAAGGTCTGGTTGAGCTGGCTGAGCTTGCCCTCGACGAGACCAGCGCGGATCACGTCAATGACCCACATCTCGACATCTTCGGATGGTACTTGTAGTGCCTTTGCGATCCTCTCGTAAGGTAGCGACCTGGCTTGACCCGCTGAAGCAGCCATGGACGCAAGGGTGAGGAGGCGCATCTTGCGGTTCAAGGCACCGGCGTCAAGGCCGGACTCCTCAACCCAGCCATCGTGCTCGTCCTTGAAGTCGTTGTAGTCATCCAGGAGATCGGAGTTGAAGATTTCAAGGAGCTGGAAGTATATGGGGTCGGAGTTACGGAGGGCCTGGATCGAGTCAAGATCGGTGAGATCTTGGAAATCGAAGTGGGTTGGGTGTGTGAGGGCCGACTTGAGGGCGCGAAGAGAGAGCTCGCGAGCCTCTGGGGACGAAGCCTGCTCTGAAGGGAATGTCCTGAGTGCGCGTAGCAGATATGTGTATGCCTGCTCCTCCTCGCCTGCGTCCGATGCGACGTCGCTCACAGCAAGGTAGAGCTTGCGCGAATCCTCCTCCCCGGTCTTCCATGCGGCTATCCAGCTGTCGAGCTGCTTGAGTTGTGGTCGCAGTGTCTCGAAGTTTGATGTGGCGCGAATGACACGGAGAATGGCAAGGAGCACGTGGTAGCGCGTCTCGCTGTCTGGCTGGGTGGTGTTGAAGATGGTGCTGAGGATGGACAGCGCAAGACCACCACCGTTCAGAGGCGACGAGGAGATGGGCGTGCTCAGGTTCTGGCACATCTTGGGGATGAAGATGGAGACATTTGGCGACTGGTTTACGAGGTGGATGAGCAGGTTGTAGGCCGCAATAAACTCTGCGCACTCATTGTTAGCCCGGTGTTTTCTCCCTCAGAAGGACCCCTCGAGTCATTGCTGGAGCCGTACCCTTCTCGGGCGCCTGGTTCAGCGCCTGGCTGCCGACGACGAGCTTCTTGAGCACATCGTCCTTCTTGTTCTCCTTGAGCAGGTCCGCGCTCTCGCCCTGGAGGTTGGCGCTCTCATCGCCCTGGGATTTTTTGAGGCTGTCGATGTATTGTGCGAACTCGTCGGTAAGCTCCTCGAAGGTGCCCTCGATGAGCAGCGTGGTCTTGGCGCCCGGCATGGTGAGAATAGCAGAGACTGGTATCGGGGCAGTGTGTAGGCGGCGGGCGCAGGGGCGGGGCTGGTGGATTGTCGACAATGGGAGCGGCGTTGGTGGGATGCCAAGATTGGAGTTGGATTTTTGGGAAGTCGCTATCGATAGCCGCACAGACAAACAACACCAACAGCCAGAACCACTTGCTGCCTTGGACCATGTCACCTTACTTGAGTTTACTGTGTACAGTTTCAAATCCTTGGAAGCCTCACAAAGTTCAGTTCGATATCGGTCAGCGTCCTCAAGGAAGCAGTGCCTTGTCCTGAACCGTGTCATCATCAAAGCCCGACCGCTCGAAGGAAAGCACTTACCATCGTACAACGCAATCTCATACACACCACCTTCAGCTTCCGGGTGCACAGCTACGAAAGACCTTTCCGTCAGCGCACTCCCATCTCTAACATCAAGGACGTTGTTATCCAAGATGAAGACCCCCCACTCCGCCAACTCTCCCTCAAGCACGCCGGTCGAACCCGGACGCAGTACATCGCTCATGTATAGGAGTTCGCTAGACTGATTTCGACTATGCAACACCACCTGTCGATCCCCATCCTCGGCCGCATGAAGCTCCCACGTGTTCGTTGCATTGTACTTCACGAGATAGAACTTGCTAGCGGCATCCTGGCTGTCGCTGAGCACGTAGGTGCGCATGTCCAAAGAACTGACTGGCAGAGACACCCATTGGCTGTCCAGGGACGGATCGTCGCTGTGTGCGATAGTCAGCGACCCAATATAGAAGATTTCAAAGGACTAGACGTACGATGAGGACCGCAGCTGATATAATTGGGTACCCGGAGCTGGGACATCAAGTTGGGCTCGTCTATCATGTGACCACGCCAAAGCCATGTCAGACAAGCCTATAGCAAGAGCGAGGAAGGACTTCATCCCAAGATTCAGCACTGGAAAATTGCTTGCGACGGATAGAAAGACACTCAAGTCAAGTGCCGATAACACGTATGTATAGTTTGCGGGGGCGACAGGGGTCGGAATGAAGGCCCCTTCAGCCTGCAACATATCAGCTTCGCTTAGATTCAAGCCTCATCTATAAACATCCTGCCTCTCTAAATTTCTCTTGGCCTGTACTCAACATGTTGCAGAGCACCCGCATGTCGATAGCATGGCTGTAGTGGAGGCGCCAGACCACATCATGTCACAGTGGGGCCTTTGTTATGTTGTTCGTCAACTGCTCTCAGAAAATCACCACCTGAGACCCTGATATCTATCACTCCTACTCAAAACGTGTCAAAATGAAGTTCACGACAATTGCATCTTCGTTGGTTCTCGCTGCATCGGCCATCGCGCAGACCACGCCCTCGGGCTTCACTCCTGCCACCAATGCAACGCTGGATGTCTACTACGGGACTCAGTACATCAGTCCCGGTCTCATCGTTAAAAAATCAAGTACGAACCCGAGGTGCAAAGAAGGATGTGCCATACTGATGTAAAACAGCAACGGCAAAGGCCCCTGTCATTGGTCTCACCAACACAACGCTCAGCGGAAAGTACCTGCTTGCAATGAT